ACCCCACTGCGTATTGTACTTTTGCCTACAATATCCAATCTACAAGTAGCGACATTGACCTCTCTCTTAAAAACAGAAAACAATTTTTTAGTCACATTGAGATCCGGGCTAATAAAGGGAAGTTGCAAGAACTGGACGTTAGAGTTACGCAACTTTTCTGAAGTATAAAAGCAAAAATTAAGTGAATCGAACTACTTAAATAAATTTACTGACCTCTCGTGGAACATGACACGGAGCGTTATCCGGATAAACGAGAACGTTTCCAGACGATTTTTTAATGAAATTCTGGAAACATTCGTCAACACTGATGCGAATTGCCCATGGTGCCTTAATGCATACTTCATTATTGTATAACACGAAAATTCAAAGCTGTTGTGGTGATTCGGATCTACGAGATTACGCCTGCCCTGGAACAGCGCGGTACAATTTCCAGACATTGGTAGTCAATCGACCTTGAGCAATGACGCCAGTAGCACGTGCACAGCCTCCGGATACACGGCATTGGTGGATCGTTCCAGCCAATCAGATACAATGCAGAGAAGAGCAGTATGACGCAACATGTGATGCAATATGATTGGTGGAAACTAAGGTAGCCAATGATCTTTTCTTGTGTACATATATATTCACTTTCATTTCCTTCAATAAACGACTTTGTGATTCGCCTGTCTTGTGGCCTTTTTCCTCGCGTCTCGATCCTGCGGGTTATTGCGAGTTCGAGCCATTGCGGTCCAGTGTCATCGGTTTTCTAATTCGTGTTCCGTGATTCCGATTGCGTAGTTCGTGTCCTGAATTCTGTCCATAACTTCACTACTACTGCCTCCTTTACAATTACGGCTGTGCACATAAATGACCTTGATTTCAAGGTTGAATTTGATGTAAAAATATTTCTGGAATTCAGGGTTTCGAATATTAAACATCGATTGTTATCATGAAACCTTATCTAATGCAATTTCTCCGGGTTGTGAGAGAGTTTCATTTGGTTATTCAATAAAGTTGTCGATACGTGTTATATACTGAATATATTAACCGAGATAACCGAGATGCATGGGTTTATGGAAAAAATTGGGATAATTCTTGAGTAGCTCCTATTAGAATATATTGCGTTTTTATACTTGATAAGGTTTACGATTTTCATGTTGAGATTATTTTATCTTGGCAATGAAGTTCAGGCACGTTTATGTGACAATCATGCAGCCTAGAACCTAAGTAGATCGAAGTAGACAAGAGACAAGTTATTGTCCGCATCTACACCATTAATATAGGTGATAAATGTAATGAAACTCAATTTGATCAGAAAGAGAATATTTTAGTGCATCACAATCGGCCAGTACTGTACACAGATATAAGGTTGACACATGCAGAATCAATGAAATCGCGATACACAATAGGCTACTGACCGACACCAACGTTGCCCATGGAATAGCTAAATAGGTTCATATAGGGACAAGTATTTGATGTTCAGTTGTTTGCCGAGCTTGGCAACGCAGTTACCCAGTTACTGCATTGAGAATTTCACCTCGATTGGTGGTGAAAGGTTCACAATACAATTGTCAATTTCGGCAAACAAGTGAACATCAAGATATACTAACCGCGTTTTGAAATACTACTCAAATGTGAGTAGTTGGTAGCATAGTTGATGACCAAAAATCAGCAAGATCACTAAGAGCAGTTTACTGTGTCTCAAAGAAGAACTATTGGTTTCTACATTTATTATCCGTCGTGTGACCAGGAACCGCGATTGTATGTTTCTGATCAGATTTTTGTCATTCCAAATTGGTGATGTCTTATCTAAAATCCTCAATTAACAATTATCCTCGACCAGAAACGCCTTCTGAAATTATAACACCCGAGCTACAAAACCAACAATCAACACTGTTGTTTAAATAAAAACTGTCAAGGAGAATTATACTCAGGGGGTAAAATGCGATGAGGATGGGTGAGCTGTTGACTCCAAGAAACCTACCGTTCGACGCCGAAGTGCAAAGGAATCCACGCACACTTTACATGTTACCTGACGGACCAAAGCAGATCGACCGAAGGTGTTCGACAGTTGAATAAACAGTACTTTTCTGTCTCATATTAATATTTTTGATCTTTTCAGGAAACAGACAGAGAGCACTTGTAGAACATCAGCTGCGACGGCTCAGATAGAATGTAAGGACACAAAATCCTCAGAATCACACAAGCTGATATACCTCAAGTAACACGTGTTGCACATGTCTACGCACTTCGAACGGAACATGACTTTAATTATGTTTGATTTGGGGAGATTCTCGTGCGTACAGAAAAACCCACAAGAACACCCATCACTAAAATTGGCTGCACTCAAGGTTGATCTGCTTGTTAGATCAGTTTGGAATGAACGCAGCTGGCACACAATTGCGTGCCTGAGCAAATCCAATATCCGACAGTGTTGCTCCATTGACACTGATTTAACGGTCCGACCGTGAGTGGTCAAAGTGATTTAAGATGGTCTGTGTTTATCAGATCCGTACAAGAATAATTTAAAAGAAACTCATACCATTCAGGTTTCGGAAGTTTTGGGTCATTTCTGTAGTCGGACTATGGATGATCCTAAATTTTGCGGATTAATTCAGGTAAAAAAATTACAATGGTGCCACTGTTATCTTTGATGTCAGCACAGCTCTTCCACGTAATCGAAGATTTCCGATACAGGAGCGACTACTTGAGAAAGAATTAATTATTTTTGATCTCCAAAGAAAGCTATCATCCATACTCGAGCATTTATATCACCCTGAGTAACGGTACATCAGACGATTTATTCTAATCAATTGCACTTCAGCAGAGGGTCCTACTTGCTTGCTACTAATCGGTCAGCTGTGCTATCTAAGCCAGTACCCTTATTTACAGTTTTGTTTCTAGGGGCTTGATCCCCTCTCGACTGTACCAAATAAACGGTCATCCATATTTACTGACCCATGTCCTTCTTCGAACCACAATCAATCTTTTTCAAACTGTAAAATACGGACCACAACACAGCATTGCTAATACATTCGATTTAGTTTCACGCTACCGATACCGTTATCTCGTACCCACAAAATATTTTCTTTAGGTGACAGCCCATCATTCAACGGATGTATATGGACGTCCAAAGATGTTCGGAGAAATCGATTAGTAGTCATCGAGCTACGAAAAAGATGGGTTCCAGGAGAATTGAACCTCCTTAAGTGCTCGGAACAAACTAGAAACCAATGAATGTATTCGGTTCTCTTGGCAACTCTGTTAGATCCATGCACCACGAATGAATTTCAATGTTTTCAGGTAACAAATTTTAAATAAACAGTGCTAGGGTATCTAAAAGCAATCAATCTGCTCTCAACTAACGTCTTCTCTTTTCGAGTCCGGTAATAAGGTGAGCACATCGAATCCAAATCGATCGATTAATTAAAATGCATCAATTCATTCATTGGATTTTACAGTTTTTATGGATTTTTCCTTATTATGCTCTTTGTTTTCCTTTCTTACTGACTTACATTCAAATATGGTTCTTATTCATTCACTATTGACGTTATGTGCGATGATAGCAAACGTAAGTATACGATGGAAATTCAGTAAATATATTTCTAATGTTCATGGTCCTTACATAGGTTGAAATTGATAAGATGTTTTACACACCAGTTTTCGCTTCCTTTCCCTTTGCCGAATTAAACCTAATTTGACAGTTTACGGATGTCCAACAAACCGAACATAAATTATATTCATAATGGTTCAGTAAGTCCTCATACCTCAATGATCGATTTGTAGTGCTCTTTTTTGGTTTGTAGCCAAACCGATGATGAGTTCCTCATTAAGAAAAAGAGTCGAAACCCGGAAAAGACACGCTTATCATTCTGGCCCTTCTAAATAACGTGAAAAGACATGCATTTGTGATAATATTATCCATTTTCGACCTTGATAAATGTTCACGTTCAAGAACGCTCACGTTGAACAGAGACCCGAAGAGATAGATGCAAGGCTAGAAATGGCAGTCAAAATGTGGGAGAGAGAGCCAATCACCACTCCTGTCCCAGTCTAGCACCGACCGTGACCCAACCAACAGGAAATAGGAGTGGACTGCTTGTTATGGTATTTGGTGTGATAGCAGTGGGTAAGTGGATGGATGGATGGGTGAGACAGGGAGAACAGTAGGTGGGTGATAGACCTAAACGGACAGAAAGCAGTGATGTCACACAACATCGACCACGGGAAACTGAACAAGCCCTAGGCGACATCGGTTTTGTGTGTGTGTGTGTGTGTGCGTGTGTGTGTATTCATGCAGATATACTGACAATGTTCATTTATGACGACATTGTGAAGCAAAGAAAAGAACAGTAAACAATTCAAGGGTTGTTTTGAGATGCCTGCTGTTTGTGAGTAGATTAGCATAACAGTGTCGAAATTGACTGTGCACAAAACTTGTTCATACTGGCTGAGCTCCGTGTTGATCTGGTCACTATAGTCTCCTAAACCTTGGACGCGTCGAAATCGGAGCAATTTGCTTTTTCGAAATAGGAATGATGATGTTTCGGACACAGGGATATTGGGGTCGTTTGTCCGAATATCGAACTAACAAGAAAGCAACGTGAATTGTGATGCAGAAAGCAGTAAAACTGAAACGGAAATTGAGACACATAATTCAGACAAACAGAAGAGAGAACTATTGTCCAGCAACCGATCGGTGCAGGTTTATTTCCCATCACTTTTGGTTCTGGTTTTCATTCACACTGCCTCAATGTCAGCGTGTGTATATGAAATGGGTGGTAGAGATGAATGAAGACGGATTAGTTGGGTAAGATGCCAATGTCTAGGATGGAATTTGTTACTGGTCATTGTCTATTCAAATTCCACCGGAACGGTTTAGTCTAGTGGGATGCGTACTGGCTAAATCTTTTGAGGGTTGAGACATGTACTGGTTGAAATCGGAAGATGGTTTGGCTTGACATAGTTTAGGACTTGCTTCGCTCATTCGCTCCTTATTATCAGTTGTGTAGGTCTCTTCATCGCTAATATTGTACTCTTGTTCTTCCGGTAGAACTTGCAATTGCGATCGTCCTCGTCGATAGGTGGGAAAATCGAATAAATAGGCTCGATTTATATCCACCTCTGCTTGACCCAACCGGATAGAGTCAAAGTCTGTGGTGCATTCCGCACGCTGCACAGTCATATTGTTGTTGTATTGATTGCTGGGTTCGGCGTTGATAGATGTCAGAATTGTGTTGTCCATATCACCAGTCATCTGGAGTATTTCTGCTAACTGACTTCCAGCAGATCGTTTGTCTTCTGGTGACATGCACTGATCGATATCCTTGCTCTCGGAAATACTATCTGAGGGCAATAAAACAAGATCATGGGACAGATCAGTGATTTGCTAAACCANAACCATAACACTTTTATCCTAAATAAGCACAATAAAAATGTTTTGATACCAATTGAGTATTTCATGTCATCAACATCAAGGTAGAAAAAGTACCAAAAGGCGTTGTCTTGTGTCAAGACGATGTGATCGATACGTACGCCTCTTGTCTAGGCCCCAACAACTGGGGAAAGAACACTGCTGAGAGAGCGACAGTCAGAGTGTATTCTTGATCATGAAACAAAAAGCAAATATATGTGGTCAGTTGGGCGTACGCGAGCAGACGTGGTGACGCGCCAATCAGATCGTGACCTTGACACTCAGGTTGATCGACCGGACGACAGCTATTTGATTCGCCTTAGTCATCCAATCAGGAGTCGATTCGGCTTGGGCGTCGCGAGCGCACTTGTGGTGTGACGCGCGTCGCTGCGTGGCAGGACGGATTTTGTGCGCTCCGTCCTAACAAAAGGCCACTTCAGCTCCGTCGATGAGGGGCTTTAGAGCCATCTTCTAGTTGATTACCTTCAACTTGTATATCACGGCTATAATAGCTCACAAAGGGCAAGAATATATGCCAAACAATTTCGTAACTACAGTTCATGACTAAACCAGACTAGGAAGACAAAATGAAATGAAATTTGTTCATTCTTCTTCTTCTTACTTTTATTATTATTATTAATATTATCATGATTATGCGGCACACCTGTCTGGGTCTAAACAGTGTGCTGAACAAAGTCAAACAAAGCATAAGTGAAAAAGACCGTTGCAATTTTGACCGAACTGAATGAACAAAACCTGAAAAATTGAGGGGTTCCACGAAATGAGGGGATACACCACAACCATCCTTGAGTACATTCAGTAATAAGTTTCTTCCTTTCTAAACCTCGAATATAATGGTATCGAAAGCCACACCCCGGAAGCTTCCTCATACGACGCAGTGATCTGACGTGGCCCCTCACACATCGACGTCACACCATGAAAACATTATGTCTTACTGTGTATCTACCAGTAAACATGGATTGCCAGGATAGTCAATTCAGAGATCCACGCCTCAACATGGTGATACAACCAGGACACCGGTCTGCCTCTAGACTTTCAAGTCATTTATTCCAGTTAACTTGTCGAACACTTCGACGATAGCTGACTTCAAATACTCTTAGTCTATGTTACTCTTCGTACTGTGACGGTTGGTTCAACACAATACGGTCACAATGGTGGAGTGACAGCACCATACAATTGATTATACATCAGCTACTGAATGCCATAATTACTCAAAATACCTCAGGTTGACGAACGTCCACGAAATTAAAATAAACGTGTACAAAAGGAGGCAATCAATCTACCTAGGTTTGTGGAGAGGGATCAAATTCAGCAGAAAATACCGATTTACATAGCGATCACAAAGCAGAAACAAAATACCGGTGAACCAAAAAAAAACAAGTTACAACTGTTTACGGTGTCCTGTACAACTTTTGACTTATATGGGAAACCGTTGTGGTTTGAACTGAATTAGGTGGGGTTCCCTTTACGTGTCTTGTCGGATCCAATTCAATCCATGTCCTTTCGTAGACCCACCATTCCTGTCTTCCTCGATTTGAAAATAGCTTTCGACTCAGTCAACCGCTCTAAATTCTAGTGCTTTCCCTGAAAGACGTGCTATAGAAGTTGATTTCAATTCTGTGATCTCTTCATACGAACAGTTGAAGCCCAAGGAAGATAAAACTAAAATCTGACTTGAGGGGATGAAGACGATAACCAGGAGAGTCGGTTATATGCTAACTCAGATTTTTGAATGACAACCTCAGGAGCATCTCAATTGGTGGTTGGAGATGCGAGGAGTGTCGCTCGTGCATCTACTCATTATCCGTTCAAACTTAGTTTATACAAATGTTCTCTTTGAATCTGCTCTCAACTTTCCAGTTTTCCTTCTACTCTGTTATTCAAATGGTAAGCCTAAAGACAACGACCAAAACCACAGCACGAAAGTGCGTGGTTAATGGTTGTAAAAACTGAAGTGAACTGTGCGTGCTAATTGAATTTAGCTCGTTTCAGTTTGTTCATCCATCCACCTTACTGTGTTTGGGTTTTTAGTATACCTGTGGAAAGTCTTACAGTGAATGATATATTGCTTGGCATGACGTATTGTAACAATATTAGGTTTAAACGAAGGATCTGCTTCGTAGTGTGAGATGAAATCAGAATCCTGCACGGCGAAAATGACACACGAATGCTCATATAAACCGAGGTAATAACCATTCAAAATTATCACCCTTGTCAAAGGTATGAACAACGCGAAGGGCTTATTACTCTATCATTACCTTTTTGAACGAACTGTTTGATCAGTGCTTTTTCAAATCCTAGGTACTTATGTTTTCTGACCATATTTTAACAACCACTGAAACTGCAAAGTGTCCTCGGCACATGCATTGAAGTGATCCATGATTTCCTAATGCACACTCACTCGTCAAGGAAAATTAACGCTTTGAAATAAATATGAATAGTTTGATTGCAACCTTTATTTATATAGCCCAAATTCGCTTTCGTCTTCATGAGTATCTAGTTTAGTCAGCAGGAGTACATTCACCACCGACGTTGAGCCAATGATGTATCATCTTGTACCCTGACATCTACGGATGTTGAAGTGTTATTCTATTTTTTCTTTAACGATCACCTGAATAAAATATTTTATTGAACATTGTGTTTTTGATGAATCTTTTTCTGAGGTACATAAGATCAAAAAAGTTTTAAACCTTGAATTGTACTAACTGTATGCAAGTCATGGTAACAAAAGTGGAGGTGTAACATTCCTCGCTTGACATGCTCGACAGCTACCGACCCACACTCATGCAAATATCCTTACAACGAGGCTTTATACAGAAATTTAATCACCTAAAAACAAAACCAACAACAACTGAACAAACTTGGAATCCGTTTTACCTGGTTTGCTCAGAGAATTGATTGATTCCGAATTCGATGAGTACTGTGGGGAATTGGATATCTGCAATCCAAAACAAACTAAGATCTTGAATGGAGTTATGTGAAACGTTTTACATCGAAACAAAATTCACACTTTGATTAGATCTTTTCATTCGTTAGAAAAAATAACTGCTTTAAAGTTCAGTAGATGTTATTAGGCAGACGTTCTATGGGCAATCGCCCGACTTCACACCATAAAATAAACACTGGCGTAACTCCCATGAGTTTCAATTTAGGTCCCTAATTGACCAATATCGTTATGAGTGCAGTATTCCTGGTACCTGACCGAACATTTAAAGTTTAATAGATGAGGAAAATAGTAATTTCGCAAATAAGAACAAACGGACAGTGGGAGACAGTTGTCAATCAATAGGCTTTACCGTGGACAGAAAGACCATAGGCTATGACTGGTATCTGGTATTTGTAATCATCGGAGACTAAGGTGGGATTGTTTTTCAAAGAGCCTTAAACAGAATAAAACAGAATAACAGTATATCCTTCATGTTACATGAACAAACATTTGAAGGTGAGAAATCACATGTTAAAGTGTGGTGATTCGGATCTACGAGATCACGCCTGCCCTGGAACAGCGCGGTACAATTTCCAGACATTGGTAGTCAATCGACCTTGAGCAATGACGCCAGTAGCACGTGCATAGCCTCCGGATACACGGCATTGGTGGACCGTTCCAGCCAATCAGATACAATGCAGAGAAGAGCAGTATGACGCAACATGTGATGCAATATGATTGGTGGAAACTAAGGTAGCCAATGATCTTTTCTTGTGTACATATATATTCACTTTCATTTCCTTCAATAAACGACTTTGTGATTCGCCTGTCTTGTGGCCTTTTTCCTCGCGTCTCGATCCTGCGGGTTATTGCGAGTTCGAGCCATTGCGGTCCAGTGTCATCGGTTTTCTAATTCGTGTTCCGTGATTCCGATTGCGTAGTTCGTGTCCTGAATTCTGTCCATAACTTCACTACTACTACCTCCATTACCATTACATAAAGTAGGCTTCTTGAGCCGGTAAAATCATATCAAACTATGATGCTTTAGTCTTGGTTTTTTAGAGTCACAGTTCATGAGTGTCTGATTGGGAGAGTGAACGCGGTTCAGAGCTGATGATTGACGAAGAATTATATCCGGAACAATAAATGGTTCCTACTTTATAATAACGTTTGTTTGATGATCCCAAGAAAATGATAATATCATTCCACTGAGCTTCATACCAGATACTAGTCGGGTACTAACACGCCAAATTCGATCAATCTCAGAGTCGGTTTAATCCTTGTTTCTTGCGTTATAGATGTCCATTTACTGTACTTCATCGGAAATGCCACTTCACCGGGTGCATAGTTTATTTTGTCTGTAGCTTGACTTGACTTGTGACATAATGAAATAAAGCTACACAGAACCCTTCCTTTTTATCGGAGAAGCAAACTGCGAAAGCGAATCAGTGAGCCGATAAGCGCTCGCAGTATGGATCTTTGAAAAAACAAAGAAACAGATGAACAATCCTACATAAAATTTTCCTGTTAGTCAACCGAACACCCTTCTGTTAACGCGGAACTGATACTTGTATGCAAACCAGAAAATCCGTTGATGCCTTCTCTTGGTGTCTGCGGTTATTCGGAAACAATTTATTCATGCACCAGTATTATACTTCAGAACGAATGACCAGTAAAAGGTAATTACGGGTAAGCATTGGAAATTGAAAAACTAGATTGACTTAGACTTTACTACTACCACTACTACTACTACTACTACTACTACTACTACTATTACCATCACCAACGTTTATTCATTCTTAAATATGAAATTCTGTGAAGCGAACACTGGTATTGGAGCGATTTATTTGAAGTTACACTGGGGCAAAGATTTAAGCGATTTGGATAATAATAAAACTATGTAAAATTTTTGTATTTATTCCTGTTTGAACAGTTTATGAAATCATTGTTTTGTTGGAGTTCTATACACTTAGTAAGCCGCAACCGAATGTGCAATGTTGTCAGCTTTCAGAAAACACATTCTCAAGGATCTTGATAATGATATCCAGTCTAATGGTTTGGATGAAACAATCTCCTATTTTCGTATCAACAAAAGACGGAAGCACTATGAAGGATACATATGAGCTATTTTTATTCGGTATTATGTAGTTACTCAAATAAAACTAACAGAGAAACCACAGAGATCTTCTGGCGATATGAACGTTGCACCATTCATATCTAGGTAGAATTTGCTGTATCCTCTCAGGTGTACGCTACAGAATAAATAGAGCAATACAATAATATAAGACTATAGGTGCCGGGGAAAAGCTGTTCACAGTCCATGTTCCTACCAAAGAATAGTCGAAGTTGAGAAGAGATACAGGGAAATTAATCAGGAAATGAACTGGTAACGTTACTATGATGCGTTTCCTCAAAACACCTTTTGGTTCCACGTCGTTTTTTTGTGCCCCAGTCTCAACATTTTTTTATTATTGTTTTTGCGTTTACCTCGTGCTTACTCGCAAGCCATTGAGAATTATCCCATACAAACGTGAGAGGAATAAGATGCATTTTCAATCGACTGAACTCGAGTCAGTCTAAGTCTGAAAACCACCTGAAGATGTTCAGTTGTCAACAGCGTCAAGTTTGCTTCTGATCAATTTTAAGTCCTCTCAAAGATGATTACCTGCTCATCTAAGGTTCTTTGATTGGTCATCGCCCGACTGATATTGGCCAGGATGAGTCAGCCAAAATTATCCGCAGATAGATTCCTTTTTTCCGTGAAAACAATATCAGTCATTTACGTCTTTAACAGCTTATCCTAGGTAGCATTCAAGGCCCAATGGATAGACCTTTTGCATGCTATTTCAATGGGTTTTATTAAACGTCATCTTACGTTATGTTACTGCGTCTTACCAAAGAGAAGCGAAGCCTAAACTAACCGCAATATTGGACATCCCATGTGACCGGAACCATTGTTTAAGCATTAGTTGTTGCCATCATACTTTTTCTACTCACAGAAAATCTAGTAGTTGGTGATACATGCTAAAATAGTTCGTTATATATGCTCGCACATCAGAGAATCTATCATCCACCGAGGAAATGTTAGCCAATTGTTCGACGCACCTCTTATGTTATATTTTCGTGTTTTCAATCCACAAACAGGAAAACTCAGAGAAAGCTTAATTTGAAGGGCATCAACACTAAATGGAGGTTCAGAGTGTATTATTTCTGGTTTTATCGTTGAAATAGATAAATTTAATATCCATGAATTGATCAAATATAGGATGTTAAAATGAAACGATGTAGCATGAAGAAAATGAAAGCTTCCGTTAAAGGTAGGACCATCTATTAAATGAAAGGTTCCAGAAGTTCTATCATCGATCAAGAAGCAATGACTATAGTGGTATGGTAAAGCGCAATAGAGCTCCTCTCAAACCAAATATCTAGTCATATCCGAAAAGTCGGAGGGCAGTGGTATAAAAAAAAACAATGTTTGATTACCACATATTTGTTAGCTGAATCTAGTTGGTGTCGCAGTTGGTAAAACGGAGAAAGAAATAACAAGTGTTCATACTTTTTTCCTTACACAATATCATGAAATCTCTTTTTTCGTAAATTGGGGTTAACCGTGTCATCTTAAAGGATATATTTTCCACTCATCACAGATTTCCACCAATTTGATCAGTGTATTTCCCTCAACATTTGAATCTGGAGACCTTCAGTTTGCACCATGTCAAGCTAGTGGGTAGATAAACGAGAATAGTGCGTACTAGGAACTCTCCAGTGATCGATGTCTCCTGTGTCGTCATCAGGAGATAAAAAGCCAGTGTAAATGGGGACTTTCTTCTGAACAATAGAATTGAAATTAAATTGGATTTAATTAATGGTGCAGAGTTTTCGATTTTAAATTAAAACTATCTTTGGTACAAAGTTGAATCCGTTCGAATAAACCGTACGTATCATTCGATTGAGTAATTCGGAAAATGGTTGAGATTCTAGCACAAAAATAGACTACATTTTTTTAACCATGAGTGATTTGTGGTGTTCTACGAAGTTGACAAAACATTTAAGTAAAATAACAGAGGAAAATCTATGCAAAATCGCTAGGTGAAAGTTGTTAACATCTGATTTTGTGGACAAATTGTGGACAAATACAGGGCGCTTTGAAAGGTTCCTTTCGTTCGATACAATATGACTGTTGTCATAAATGATACCCGTGTACGTAGTGAAAGCGAAACCTCACAAAGTGCTTCTTTGGGACAAAAACGGATGTGAATCAAAAATACTCCCCACATGCCTGCCCATATATATAACATATATATATATGTTATATATATATATATATATATATATATATATATTCCACAACAACCTTGTTTGCAACACCGGGTGGCTATTGGATAGGCAACATTTTCAGCCCGATACGCATGCCTGACGAGAGGCAAGAACCGCGAAACCGGTCGTCTGCTTCGAGGGAAATTTTGTCCAGTCATTCGCGTACTACTTATTTTCAGATATATACATAAACCTGAATTCGGGCAACAAGGTACCCTGTTTAAGTGGTCAAAACGAGTCAATACAAGGAAAAAATGGATTACGTTCGTCTTGAACAATCGGACACAGACGAACTAGGCGCGACCTCTGAGACAACTGTTATTCAGAATCCAGATGGAGCTGAAGGGAACTTGATCTAATCATGCTGAATAAAAGAATACTTACGATATGCGCAGTGTGGTGATCTCCAAACTGCTCATTCCGACGTTGGGCCATTTCTCTTCTTCGGGCTGCTTGTTCTTTCCAGCGTGCCAGAGCCTGTGATTTAAGACAGAGAAAGGTATTTGTACAACTTTTCGATACAGAACGATAGTTAGTTAAATTTCAAATGGGATACAATTTAACTGTCCAATATTTTCACAGTTTTATTGGGGTCTCCATAAAAGTGAATTATAAACAATTACCACGAGGATTTCCGTTCACCTCACACTTATTTGTGAGCAGTGATGCGGGATAATTGATATTAATTTAGATAGATAATTTAGATAATCAATAATAACAATCAATAATAGTGCTTCCTGAGTGTATCGTCCGCTGAATGAAGTAAGTATTGCGCGTGATGGTGAAATCTGAAGGATGACCAGTCTAAATCAAAAAGAGGATAATGATTTTTCCAGGGAACTTTTAGTGCATTCGTTATTGATCCGTGCAATCTTGTCACACCACTTAGTTGATTGTGGTTCACATTATTAGCATTCTAAAACTGTTTCTATACAAAACATAGTATTTGCTGATCTCGGCTCAGTTTGTGTTTGGCAACGTTAGACAGCTTGGGTGATGTCGGGAAAACTGTGTGTTTGTAAAGAGAACATATGCTGCGGTATTCAGGCGGTCTTTGCTGTCCTCAAGCATTCTACTTCGAATGAAATACACAACTGAGGAAATATTTTTGTCGAAGGCGACTTATACCATTTGAATTTGTCAAGAGACATACAAAAGCGATCGAAGGGAATCAAATACTTCAACCTCCGGATCCCGGCAGTGACCACCAGCAGCTTTGATCATTATCATCAGCAGTGCAAGTGTACGTAGCTCACTGGTGATCCAGGATAGAACCCCAATCATGGAATCCAAGAGAGGAAAACTTTCGATCCTCGGCAATCCATCGGCATGGTTTACTTCTCTCCCAAAGCTTACCATCGGAGCAGTTGTCATTTAGGATTTGGAATCGGTTGGATACAATGAATGCGCCAGATGCACGGTTCCACAAATAACTAAGTACTTCAAAGGATATTTTAGTTCATTTGTGGAAATGGTTAATTTTTCGATGAAGCATACCTCGAGAATTATATAATAATAATCTCCCACATATCCTTTTAATGCCTAGAGACCAGTAAAGTTAGCAGTTTCTGTTCATTTTTGACGAGTTCAATGGTGAAACATTTACATTAGATATACTACTTTGGAGAATGAACTCAAGGATTTATTGTTCTTCTAAGAGAACCGGTCCCCAAAACTCGGAACTAGGCGTATGGAAACCGGTCAAGTTAAGTAATTGTGACGTTGTCTAGGTCCGAACATGCGTTTGTGACCGGTAGTTGACCCGAGGCCTTCTATGTGACTCGCAGGGTTACTGAGCAACACACTAAGGAGACCATACCAGCCACTGCAAATATGGCTATCGTATACAGACATCTATAAAGTAAAAAATGTATTATGCCATCAACATGGAGAACTATGTCGGACGAAAAATCTCGTGTGTTTGCGTTCAAAATCCATTTTATTGAGTAGTGTGTATCTCTACGGTGCTTGCTACCTTAACCCAAATGTGCAACATCTTTGATGGACCGATAGTACTAGTCTGAGATTAAGTGCTTTGTTCCGATCTATTGACACAATCAATATATGCTCGGCGCCGTTTGCGTTAATTACATTATTCCACCCCTTTTCTTCGCTCACAGTCCTAGTTCACTTGAACACTTCGTTTGTCACCCGTTCTATCCTCAATCAGCTTAATTTCAAACCTGTTGTTGCATGTGATTACACACTGTTGGGATAGAGTTGTTGTCTTAATCGATTCATCCAGGGTTCACCTTTTTCCCTAAGCAATTTTCTGGACAAAAATTTGTTCAATATAAGATTTATCTGTATCAATTCAATATGTCAATTTCAGATGTTCTGTTACTAAGGTGACGGTACGTTGCAAAGTTTGGAAACAAAGTAAATGTTTAGTAAGCTATTGATTCAAGATCAAATTAGTGAGATATTCAGGCGTTTACAGCAAATCAAGTTTTGTCATGCCCCACAAGCGAGCGCATTGCCATCGTTTATGAGAGCCTGGTACCGTGACATCCCTATTTGGTGATGAAGCATTTTTAATTGAAATGAAATTATCCTAAACAGAAAAATGATTGATGATCTGTGGGGTTATTAACAATCCCGATTAGTTACAATGTATTTTTAACGACTCTTCATATTTCTGGGTGACAAGAAACTTGAAATAGCAATTATTAAGATAATAATGGTTTACAATTCACCCTAAATCAACTGGGAATTGATTAGTTATATTGCCGAATTCGATCCTTTATGTTGCAAATCTTATCTTCTCCAGTCCCAAGTTACCCATAAGACCACTTCTGGAACTATCCTCGAGACAAACCGGGAGGTCATTTTATTTCCATATAAACCGTAAAACTTCTTTCAAGCACCAGACAAAGTGAATGTTGGACCACTTAAGTGAGTGCACAGATAAGTGTCTGGTTTCTGATCAGTTGTGGTTTATTGCTCTCGTACAATGTGGTTGAGAAAAACGAACTAAGAGATAAAAACCCACCCATAAGAGAGGTTTGAATAATAGCCAGAAAGTTGTGGTTGTTCTATTTCGACGAACTTTTTTTCGTTCAACAAAAACTAGTTGCGTAAAATTGACGCATTTGGGAATATCGTATAATCAGTTTAGAGCTGAAAACAGTGAATACATTATTCCTGACAAACTTATCCGATCGGCGAGTTCTGTTTGGGGATTTCTACACAATTGCCCAAGGCCCAAATGCAAATGAAGATAATTGTAGGCAGGGTTAGACAAGTTCCAGCATGCTATTCAACCTGACGTTACATATAGAATTCCTTTCAATACTGCCTGATTTGTATGAGCTTGATAAATCACACTTTGAGGTTTGGTCAGCGAAGTTCTGTTCGAGATATTCTGGTACACAATTGAGTAGGTACTTTCTGAATGCTCTTGTGTACCGGAAATTCCGTGGATGTTTATGGGCAAATAGCAAAAATTGTTGACGAATCGGGTACAAGACAAAATATATGTATGTGATACTGGAACACATAAACGAATTGAAGGAAACGTTGGTTAATAAGGGAAAACTAAACATAATAATAATAGCAGTTTTTGTATGATTCGGGGTGTTAACCACGAATCTGTGGTGTCTGAGCACATTTCGTTACCGAGATGGTAGAGATGATATGGAGCAGTGTGGAATGATGACCAGAGTTTTAAGTTGTAACTTCTCCTTCCAAGAAGAAAATCATTTCTAATCAAAGGTAATTATGCTCGGTGTGACGAGTCTCGGACTGACAACGTATCGTTAGTTGATAGTGTTAAACCCGGTCGAGGAAAACTGTTTGCAGGAAGCTTGCAAAAGATCACGTATACAAAGAGTGAAATGGGTTGAAGATCTACATGATGGTCTTGTTAACATAAAACATGTTCCGTACGGAAACGCTCTGATTTATTCTTCAGATGGGTCAGTGATTTCTTATTGCTGATCACACCTAGCAAGATAGGATTGCTTCGAGTCTTAAATATGTTTATATAGGATAATTTCAATTATTTGTTGGGACTTTATTCGGTAGTATCATCCACTCCTAAAGGTAGAGTACAACTGATAGTTTGAGATTTCTACGTTTGGTGGATGATATTAACCATTTTCAGATTGCCTTAAGATAATGTCAAAGCGTGATCTGCTATCACTGAATGACTGACTGACTGAGTGACTGACTGACTCAGTAAATCACTCATTCACTCTCACCCACTCACTCATTCTTCTTTCTGATCATTTATGCAGGTAGGCGCCTAGATTAGAGAAAACGAATGCAAGATTTTTTTGGAAGATACTATTAGTACCGAAGTGAATAAAAATCTCATTCGTTTACCCGATTGATTGTTAAACTTCAGTATTGGTTTTTAAAACGAATGGTACTTTCGTCTTATTTATTGCTATACACTTCTGTGATTCATTACCTCAAGATGAGAATGCCAGCGACCAGATGAAACGAAATAACTGAAAGAGCTGCATTGTATCTGAGTGTTAAATAATTCGGTTCTTGGCATGTTATCAGTGCAAAATATTGACCACATTCCACATTTTATTCCCAGTTTGGACTCACGTGTGTGAGACAATGTTTTATTTGTGCGCTGTATTATCAGACGGACGAATGTTCACTTGAAACCCTCTTTTTCACGGTTTATACTTCAGAATTTATTTTCGTTCAACAACGAAAATGAAAAACTTCGTGGAAAGTACAACAAATTAGCTTCCGACTTTGAGAGCTCTCCGTGTACATTTCAAAATGAATTTGATATGCTTTTATTCATAAATCTTTGTCTGTTTGTCTGAACGATCTCAACAGTGTTACACGGCCGAATATTTTTTGCAGTTAGCCTTTCGTGCGAACACCAATAACGTTTCCCATCTACATGTCTTGCTGTTGGGAATAACTTATAGTACGCAGTTTGGTCGAAGTAAACGAATGCAGTAATCTACCAGGATCAAGAACTCACCTGGGTTCAACTAACAAAGCTTCATTTGCCACCAGATTACCGTCACAAATGTTGTTCTTTTCATAAAAAGTCACTTATCCGTAGTGGATAGCACGTAATTTGGTCTTTGTTCGCACACAGTATCTAATGCAAAAGATTTGGGTGTGTATGCGGCGGGATGATGAGGGGAACGAGGTGCGTGGGAGCGAGGGAACTGACAAATCTAGGAAAACCGTGTTCAAATGACACCAACGAAAAATTGGGGAGAGGCTGAATATAGAACATCTAGATTGTAATCCGTTACTCAGAATGAATATCGGGGTTGAATTACTACACACCCCGAGTTTCGAAGGATCGTGCTATAAAGGCTGTTGTATTGGATGCAAAAGAATAGTGCCAGTGCATTGTGAGTTATTTAAAGGATGAGAACATGTACCTTAATCAGTTATCGTTGTTTTAAAATTTCACATCCATCAAGCTACGCACTCAGTGTTAATACATTGTGCACACTGCTTGCTGAGTTGTAATCAATCTCAGTCGCCCCACTGTAATTCACTGCATCACGTGAATGACTTGAAGGATTCCGCTGGCACTAAATCTCTGCCTTCCAAGAAGAGATTGATTGGAAGTAGCGTGTCCGTGTCATGGTTTCCTGTGTCTATGGACTAATTCGTAATGTGCTCTTACAGATTTGAGATGAATTCTCTCACAAAATAAATATGGATAAGGATATCAAATATCGTGCTAATTAAACAGTTCAGTGATCTCAGAGTCGAAAAGACGGTCAGCCAATCACGTCCTATTTTATGTGTATCGACCAGTTCAGTTTCATTTGCATTCTGTTACTACGTGTTCCAGTTTTATTTGCTGTCTCTCGCAGGGTTTACCACTGATAGCGTTTGTTCGACGCACAAATGTCACGCTCATCTTCACTCATCCATATCACGCTGTGATGTCCCCTCGCATGAATCCCAATATAGTTTAAATAGTCATGGCTTCTATTGATCTATGATAATTTATTTGAAATTGCTATAGAATATGAACTGGGCACAATATCCCTGAACAAGAAATCACACCAATAGTTGTTCTCGATTTAATTCAATTTCAGTGAATATGTACTCATTTGCAAAATATAACATTGAGTCAGGCAGTGGATGAAATACAGCTCTGCATGTTTGGAATCCTAAAAATTAAAGAGACAAAAGTTTTTCAGATACCCTTCCCTCTCCGTAACCGACTGATTTTTGTTTTGACCCGGTTGCGTTCTTTTCAATACATGAGATCTCTTTTTATTTGGTTGACTGCTGTTCCCGGGATCGGTGAAGCTCAGTTTCGATGATATCTCATTTGGGACTAGATCAATTGGGCAATATACGTTTATTGTTTGTTCGTCAGGGGTTCGTTTCATTCCCAATAAATAAAAAAAGTAGACAGTATGTCAGTGTGTCCATATCTATTCAATGAAAGAATAACAAACTGTATTTGTTCCAGTATTGATTGTTTTTCCTCCGAGGGCAGAATAGGGCAGCAGGGGTAGACATCATCCTAATGGCTATTTTTCAGCTATCTACGACGAATTCGGTTGTCAAAGACATCAGTGATTCAATTCACAGTTTTCCTATTTGTTTTTAACTGTTGAGTATTTACGATCACAGAAAAAATTGTTTTGAACTTTTAATTACATGTCTGGCTTCAGGATCGCACTTATCTGGGTTTAATCACAGTACGCAGGCAAATAATTGAAACCTAAGTTTTACTATACAAACGAGTAACCCTCTTGTTGATACTGTCTGTAGGATTTTGACATTCTCTAATACAAGCCGATAAACAGATGCAAGAGGTGGTTGCTGACAGAGCATAATGACGGAAGATTGCATTTGGCCAATTAACACATTGATCTCAGGTTTCGATTGAATAAAGTGTGATTAAGGTGTTGTTATAGCTGCAAGACCCAAATACACTGATAATGAAAAACAACTAATATTAAATGCTTTTCCCAAGCCATTTGCCAGATGCAAAATCAAAGAATGAATAACACATGGGAAAAAATGTGACGGCGAAGCACAAATTAGTCTGTGACAGTGTACTTTTCATTTTTTCCTTTTTCTGCTGGTTTTCTCCACATACAGAACAAATTAAAAGTGAACTGAAAAGCTAGAAAGTACTAGACAGCTTCTTAGACTTGATCGCATCTCACCATCAGTAAGAATTATTTGACCCAAATGGGGTTTGGACTCGAGAACTCACAAGCAGAACGCAAGCATGCTAGCCACACGGCCACTGGAAAGTCTGTCCAATCGTCATTCATTATTACCTTTACACGCTATGACACAACTAATCTTTGCGGGCCTCGCGTTTCGCTCATCTCAGCAGCAACTTCCAGGTTTATGGCTCGTTTTGGAAACACTCCAACTCGACTACTTGTTTTATGAGAGCAACTATTTAGTGGGATTCTCCATGTACAGAGCAGTTTTATTATTTTACCAAACCCCCTTACCAGGTCTCAGTGAGATGGGTTTTCACATGGTTTTCTTCGATGTGTTTATACATTTCGAAGTGAAAGAGTTCACCGTAGACTCACCTTTTGTCTTTTCTCTTCCGCTTTTTCCAACTTTTCCATTAACATTTCTGTGGTGATCTGAGGCGCATGACCTAACGGTTCTAAATGCTGCAACAGATTAACCAAATTTCATTTCATTTTCTTTCAAATAAAATGCATTCCTACTCGGAGTCGTTTGGGTAAAGGTTTTTTGAGCACATTATCTAAAATGGTTGCTTGTGATCCGTCCAATGGGATATCGAATGCGACAAATCCTTTCTTCGATTCTGTCGCTATCACATTCTGATTAGTCGGTGAATCAGTATCCGCTTTAGTGGTAATACGTATCGGATAGTCCTGTTCCTCATTCGCTTCCGAATCACTGGCTCCGGATGATTTTTCACCAGACGCAGCACTTTTTGGTGTGATTGATCTGACCCGTTCCGGTTCCCTCGTCTCATCGACAGACGGTTGTAGCTCTGTCACTTCGGCAATCGGTTTGACGTTTTCGTCAATCGGTGAGTGATGATTATCCGAGTCTGTGGTGCTTGTGCTTGGCAATGAGACAGCCGGTTTAGTCAGACCACAACCCATTCTTAATGGGTCATTCAACGATGTTGAAGTAGTGGACCAGTCTGGTACTGGTGTTTCCGGATTGATCGATCAATATCGACCGACTGCACAGTTTGAATCAGAAAGGAGCGTAAAGCAAAGAAACACGTGCCACTTGCGATTTGGCCATTCTCCCGGAATTAAGAAACGTCTTGAGTTATTAATTTGCCTTTGAACCAATATAGAACTGATTCATACTATGGAGTGTTTAAAACTGTATATGAAATAAGCCCTTGAAAGCGGTGTCATGGATTGATGAATAATAAACCGGAAACATAAAATGCAATCTCATTATCACAGAGGCGGTTGTACGATTCATTTCGGATTGTACATAGAATCTCATGATACATGAGTTAATCATGGTTATGCCCAACCACTATGCTCCCTACGACGCGATAGTCAAAATAAACAAACTGGAAGAGAAAATTTGATCATTGATTATTTTGACAAATCTCCAAAATTTTCACAGAATCTGATTGTGCATCAAAAGGAACCAGACAATCGGCATTTGAGAAGAAGTGATTCCAAAATGTAGAAGTAGTTTTGCTGTGTAAAAAAAACCGTACAGCCAACAGAACCAGATGATGAATAGTAAGTTCAAAATCCTTAATGAGTAGATACGCCATTTTCAATGGCCCGTTTTCCGTCAGCGCGTGATCTGTGTTGAGTGACTCCATGTAGAAAATCAGACTATGTTGTCACACTTATTACGAAAAAATGCGTTACTTTGTGTATGCACTTAACACATTGTGCTTTAAAAACCGGATAAAAAGTACTCAAAATCTATTTGTGTTTGCTACGTTTAGACCTCTATGTTGGATAAAGGGGATATTATTTAATTGTGTATTATATTATATATATTGTATTATATATAAATGACGAATACTATTCAAAGTGATCAATGTAAGAGTTAGTGTAACCTGCTTAGTAGTAAACCTAAATCAATTATTCGACCTTGGGCATACTGGTGTGCTAAATGGTCCATTCGTGACGGCATTTTCGCATTTCGGAAACAACAGCACTCCCAAAGACCCGTCAACAAAATACAAATATTTCAGTGTTTCAAGTTCATAAAACCTGTGCTGGATTGATCAGTGGATCGATTAGGAGCAGGCAAATATTAACCATAGGTGTGCATGCAGTTGGAAGTAAATGTTGCAATCGATTTCGGAATAAGAAAACTGGAGGTTAGTGCTAGGATGAACGGGGCGAGTTGTTACAACAACAACAACAACAACAACTTCGTAAACATGAGTTGTGATATATGGTGTTTGATCAAAGTGAAACAGTCATGGGTAACAGTTTTGGGTACTCTGGAGGGTATTAAGCGTTATTGTTACCCGGGGTTTGATTCAAAATTAGGTGGATAGATTCGTGAGACTAATGTAATAGAGAAANNNTTGTTCAAGTTGTATTCATTTTCCTTGTGTACAATGAAAGTTATCGCAACGTGATTTTTATTTAGACGAGAGGTACAGGGGCACGATGAAAGAGTGTTGGTACAAACTGGTCGATTGATAACGTGGATGTGACTAACACTCAATGATAACGTCAGTATAGAAGTTAAGGATAAATATATTTGACTGAAAACAAGTATATTCTAATGAGTATTAAATCACAACAAACCTATCATTTATCTGAGTTCATGGTGAGAAATATAACTTGGGATGAAAAATTACATGATTTTTGTCTAAACAGCCCAACAAAGCACAGTTCAAATAGAACAAAGCGTGGCGAACAACCTTGTTTTCGGTGATTCGTAGTCATGTTAAATACATTACAATAAATATGACGCAGTATTCAACCGTAAAAAAGGAATCCGTGAACACCACCTCGCATGGCTAAATACAGGAACAATTTGGTCATTCATTGGTGCAGTGGTTCCCCACCTAGTTGAAAGAAATCACACTGTGAATGTTACCGAGGCATTTCGTCCTCTGTATCGGGTTCGTGGTCGATTATCAAGGCAGGTTCGATGTCGTGTTCTGGTCACAGTGGAAGCGGTAGGAATTCGTCTGCATAACCTCCCTCTGTGTGCAGGTGCTTAAGCCCCTCTGACCCACCCGCGACACACCCCATAGTCCGAGCGATCTCAACGATCTGATGACCTAATAATGACTGATCATCTGATCCCAATACGAAATTAGCCCCAGAAACGTATAAGGTTATTTTCCCTTTCCCGAAACGTTTGTTTTTTATGGTTGAATACTGATTTATATATAAACAGCGCAATATTTATTGAGATGTATTTACATGGTTTTCTTTGTTAGGTTTTAACGCTATCATGCCCGTTTTCTCAGACTAAGGTATACTGTGAATGAATTTTAAATTATGTTTGTTGAGGTATCCCAATCAATAACAGATAAAAAAGCAAACGTAGTATGTTTGAATTAGACAACTTGTGCTCGAAATTTAAAATAGTTGCAGNNNCACAGTTCACAATTACCATTATTGGTTGCCAACCAACATCGATCGTGTTATGATGCATAAACTGAGCAAAAAGATACGTGGACACGGAATCCCCGTACGAGTTGCAGATGACCGAGCAAGGAAAACGTGTCTGGTGGTGAGCATTGGCGAGGTCCGTCGTCGTGTTTTGGATGCGAATAGCCGATCTCTAACAGAAGTAATCGCTCTACACCGCCTCCGATGGCTTGGTCATATATTGCGTACGCCTATTCATTGACCACCTTTCCGTGCTCTCTGCGCAAGGTTGAAAAAAGCGACGCAGCGATCAGCCCATGACATGGGCTAGATGCATGAAGAAGCTGGCTTCAGTTTTCGCTTCAGTTGATGCAGCCCGCCTTCCAGGTTGGGGCCCAAGGAAACTAGAGGCATGAAGAAGCTGGCTTCAGCTTTGGCTTCGGTTGATGCAGCCCGCCTTCCAGTTGGGGCCCAAGGGATGAGGATTGTCTATGGTTAGAGACGCTGAGAGATATGGCCCAGAATAGAAGTCAGTGGCGCGAATGCTGTACGGTCTGCCCATCGAAATCCCGAGCCCCGTAAAAACCACAAACAACAAAAAATTTTCAAACGGTGTACGGTGAAACACAAAGGGGTTGTTATTCCACTTATTCGTAATCTTCTATTCTGACAGTTACGTCTTTTTCCCTATAATCTGTATCTCAACACCCCCCCTGCGTTATTGTTATTGTTAATATTGTTGTGGCGTTGGCACCAAGCTTGTCTATAAGCTGGTGTTATATATATATATATATTAGCGATTCCACTTTTTCGTAAACGTATTTCAATTATTGGTGTTTACGTAGTTTATCCCGAGCGGGATGATTGACCAAACGAAAGATGACAAAGCAGATTTGGTTTGACTGAAGTTTGAGTTTTCGGTAATCGTGCGAACAAATCAACCCTCTTAATCCGCTAGAATAAAAACCGGCACGTATCTGTGAAAAAATGCACTATTTTTACACTGGTTCACAATGGAATGAATATAATCCGGAAGACGCCGGTGACTACGGAGAAGTTGAGTACTAATGTTAAATGTCTACACCACCGCCCAACTCAGTTCAGAGTAGAAAAGATGTCACTGCTTTCGATATGTATGATAGGCAGGTCGTTTACACAATCTTTCGTGGTAACACATACAGGAAATATAATGCAAAGCGGCATCCGCGTTGCCACTGAACCTCTTCTTTTATTCGACATTCAGTATTTAGACAACCGTGGGTAGAATATTTTAACGACCTCTACGTATTACCCCACGGAGCATGCAGTACAGAGTTATCATCGCTTGTGGGATCCTGGATAATTGCAACTCATTCATATCACCACATGTCTCATTCATTAAACTATAAATGATCGCACAGATGTAACCAGTATGTGAAAAGATGAGACGGGTTGAGTAATGATTCAATAGAGATAAGAACCTATGCGATGAAGCTGAGTAGCGAAGGGAGAAGCCTCAGGTAACAGATTGTTGCCATTGGCATTGTGGATTGAATGTATTGATCACCCAAGGAATGACAGATAAAAATATGATTTCTGTTAGCTAGTGAACAGGTTCAAATTTATTCAGGTGAAATGCTGTTACTTCTTTCACCATTGTTACAATTCGCGCACGCTGCACAGCAATCTTGCACTTCAATTTGGGACTTGTGAAATTGTTACAATTGTTAATTATATCATCAAGTGTGCGTTTCAATGTCAGAAATACGTAAGCAATCGCATTTGATTCAGAGGAATCGGTTTTGTTCGAGAGAATCTAGGCCTCAATGGAATTTACTCATTGGGTTATCGAGGGCTTAGATTGATTCCACTCATACAAAGAATCATGCTCAGAATTCACGTCTGGACATGGTGACCGACTTCTCGACCCATCTTGATGTGATTCGCTTCCTTGCTCGACCGACAGAGGTCAATGAACTCGGGGTTCGTTCATTAGTATCTATGACGCACACCCGATCAACGATCACGAACATAACGTTCTCGGGTGGAACGGGTGTGTGTGTGTGGAGGGGTAAGGGGCGGGGAGAGAACGACCCATCTCAACCCACACCCCTGAAACATTGAACCTCGCTCGGTAACTCATGGGGGAGTGAGTTCATTCGGACTGGACGGGGTTTAGACAGATCCGGTCCAATCGGTGACATTTGACAGCCGAAACCCCAGTCATCTTGTCGGGGTTTTCGATGGAGTGCGATTGGTTGGATTCACTTGAAGTTACAACTGATACACTTGAAGTTGAAAAGGTGTGGTTCATTAAATCGGTCGGCTTTTAAACGGGGTTAGACGTCCAAGGCGTCCAATACACCTGGATGTCCAACCGAGTCAGGGACCACTGCAATAATCTGGAAGGTGTTCGCGTGTGGTTTCTACGATTTTTGTTGATTCGTTCACTACAATTATTTTTAGCGAACTCCCGTGAGTGAACTGCCAAAGGTTCACCGAACGCTTATAGGACCCAGATACTGACTTTTCGTCTTTTCGCTTTGATGGCAAAATATCCCTACTACATGAAAACAATT